TAAAATAAGACCCAAATTTGTGGGTTCCCTGCCTTCAGCAAAGTCTCCAGGTCTGTTGAGGTAGGTGATACAGGTTCATCAGAACACACTAGTTTTATTGGCATGAGTAGTCAGGTGTTAGAGTTCAATGCTTCCAAAACAGGAGGAAAATAAAGGGAAAAGCCTATAAAGAAGAGATCCACAGGAGAGATCATAAAATCTAAGTACAAACTCTGCTAAAATTCTTTTTTCTAATTTTTAAATGTTTATTTCTGAGAGAGAGAGAAAGAGACAGCATGAGCAGGGGAGGGTCAGAGAGAGAGGTAAATACAGAATCTGAAGCAGGCTCCAGGCTCTGAGCTAGCTGTCAGCACAGAGCCCAACACGGGGCTCAAACCCACGAACCATGAGATCATGACCTGAGCCGAAGCTGGATGCTCAACCGACTGAGCCACCCAGGCACCCCAAACTCTGCTAAAATTCTTAGGTGACTCTTGAACTGCACAGACCTGTAGAGAAATTCTAAGAGGTTCAGGAAAAACAAGAGCTGAGAGTGTAAAGAAATTAATTGGTGATTTCAGAAGCTGCCCCCTACCTGGGACAAAGAGTTAGGAATTCAATCAGTCAGGACGCTAGGAGCTTGGTAAACACTCTCAAGTATACACTGAAATTCTATTAGGACTACAGCTTATCAGTGAAGATCATGTTCCAGAACTAAGAAATCTATCCCGGAGTAAAGGCAAAACTGAAAAGAACCATTCCAACAGCTTAAAACCAAGTCCCCCTGTGACCAAGTGATCAACCAATACTTTAATTGGCTATCAGAACAGAATGTATCATTTTACAAATAAAGACAAAGGAAAAATAATAGGTCTCTACAAGGTGTTACCCACAATGTCTATTAGGCAACTACTACAAGACAAAGAAACCAGAAAGTATTACAATGATTAAAAGAAGAAATATGTAATAGAAACAGATCTAGAGGTGACCCATATTTTGAAATTAGGCAAGTACATTAAAACAACTATGATACATCTGCTAAAAAAAAAAAAAAGTATACAAAATGAGATACAAAAAGTGAAGAGATGAAAATTTAGGAAACTAAAAATGTAAAAAAAAGAATAAATAAAACAATGGAAATCCTTGAACTGAAAAACATAGTATTTGAAATAAAAAATATCATTAGATATAATCAATAGTAGACTAGACAGAAGGAAAAGAGTCAATGAACATAAAGATAGGATAATAGTAGTTATACAAATTGAATCACAGTGGGGGAGAAAAGCATTGAAAAGAAATAGTTCTCAAAGACTTATGGACAGTGTCAAGTGATCTATTATATGTGTAAGTGAAGTCTCACAAAAAGAAAAGAGAAAATGAAGCAGAAAACATATTTAAATAATCATTGGTCAAGATTTTTCTATGTATGACCAGAAAAGCAGGCCACACATTTGGAGGAGCTCATCAGAAACCAAAACTAAGTTCTTCGTAGTCAAATTAACTAAAAAAAGACCAAAAAAAAAATATATATATATATATATATACACACACATATATAAGCTGTGGAAAGGAAAAACATTAGAGAGAAACAATAATAACAATAACGCCTTTTGACTTCTGGAAATAAAACAACACTGTCAACAAGAATTCTGTATCTGATAAAAATATCCTTGACAAAATGAAAGCAAAGTCCTTTTTCAGATAACAGAAGGCTAAAAATTCATCTACAAACTCATAAGAGATGCCAGAAAAATGTGTCATGGATGGTGAAGGGAATAATATCTGATGAGCATACATTTGAACAAAAATAAATGAAGAAAACAAAGAGCAGTAAATATATGGGTAAATTTAAGAGACTACTTTTCCTTCTTATTTTTTTAAAGAAAACCCACTAAAAAAGGTAACAATATACTGTACAGTTCATCACATATGTGTAAGTAAAATATATGACGGCAGTGAGTTGAAGAATAGGTGATAATAAGTGGAATTATTTTATAATAATATTTAACATTATATGTAAGGAGGTAAAAATACTCAACTAAGTTGAAAAATTAAAGACAAACTGTAATACACCAGCATCACAGAAGAGAATATGATTTGAACTACACAGGTCCATTTATAAACAGACTTTTCCTTTTTTTGCAATAAATACAATACTAAATACAGTAAATATATTTTCCTTATGATTTTCTTATAACATTTTCCTTTATTTAGCTTAATTTATTGTAAAAGTACAGTATATAAGGTATATAAAACAAAATATCTGTGAATCCACTGTTTATTATTACCAGTAAGGTGCTGGTCAACAGTAGGCTATTAGTAGTTAAGGCTTGGGGAAGTAAATATTATACATGAATTTTCAGCTATGTAGGGGGTCAGCACTCCCAACCTTCACATTTTCAAAGGTCAACTGGTGCTAGGATTTAAAAAACCTTTAGAGAAGAAAGAATGAAATACTAAAATGTGTGTGTATATATGTGTGTACTTGTGTGTTTATGTGTGTGTGTGTGTATATACATGGCAGGGAAAAAGAAACAAAAGACAGGAACAAAGGCACAAATAGAAAACAAACATAACTTTACAAATAAACTCAATTAGATACATTGTGAGTTTATTTACTTATATGAATGGATTAAACACTCCAAGAGGAAAAATTGATTAAAGAAATCAATATCCAACTAAATCTTTTTTTTCCAAATATGCACTTTAAGTATAAGCATAGATATAGATTTAAAGTAAATTGTGGAGAAAAACATACCATGGAAGCAATAAGCAAAGGTAAACTCGTGTGGCTCTATTAATCTCACAAAAGCATACTTTAAGACAAAAGATTTATTACCATAAATAAAAAAGGTTTCTTTATAATAACAACTCATCAATTCATCAAGAAGATAGTAGCAAACCAAATGCTATTTGCCTAATAAAAGAACTTCAAAACACATAAAGCAAACCTTACAGAACAAATCATTATAGGAGATTTTAACACCCTTCTATCAGTGATATCTGATACCTTGATCAAGTTAGAAGACGTGGGAAAAAAACATTAAGCTGGAATACCAAAGAATGGAATAAGTCTATTAATCAACTTCAACTAAGTGACATTTGTATAGCACACAAAACGTACACAATTCACACTTTTTACATGAACACATGTAACATTCACTAGGAGAGACTATGCTTGGAGCCATAAAACACATTTCAAAGGACTGCAATCATACAAAGGAGACTCCTTTACAATCATGAGACTGAATTATAAATCAACAATAAGACAGCCAGAAAATTCCCAAATATTGAGAAACCTATAGGTAAAGGAAGAAATTGCAAAGAAAACAATATATATTTCTAAGTGAATATTAATAAAACATAATTTTCAAAATTTTGGGAATACTGTGACAGCAGTCCTAAGAGGGAAATGCTTATGTTAAGAAAGAATAAAGTTACCTTCACAAGAAACTAGAAAGAGGAAGTGAAATAAAATAAATAAGCAATATAACAAAAAAATTTAAAAATAATGAAAAACATCAAAATCACTAAAATAGAAAACATACTAAAAGCAAAAGAAAACCATAATGCCAAAATTTGGTTATTTCAAAAATAAAAGAAAATTGATAAATACCTAGGTGGAAATAATGTATGACATATATGTGACATATATACAAATATATGTATATGTGTATGTATATATGCTATATCCATATAATACATATTATATATACATAAAATATCTATTATATATTGTGGGGCATAGGTTCTACTTACATAAATGGGTTAGAAAAAAGCTTAGGGCAGAAAGCCACCACCATGGGGCTAAAGTCCCTAGGGTTTGCTAGGGAGATATTGTGATGGAATCACAAGTAACTTGTTATATCATCTGCAGGAAATTACTTTCCATCTTACGCCAATATACTATTGTACTTTGATTCCAAACTCCACTTTCCCCCGCAGACCCTTTGCTTCTTACACATACAAGTTAATGATCACTGTCTGATTATTTTCTTCATGTTCACAACATGTGTAAGATCTTGTTTTCTTCACATTCACCATGTGGGTAATGTCTTTTGCACTCAATAAATACGGAGACAAAACCCGTGTTCAGGGCTTTTGTCTCCTCTCAGAAATGAGCCCCTCTCATTTTCAATTCCACATCCATTCTCTTTCTGGACAAGAGAGAAGTCCAGACTCATAGTCTGTGACAATATATTAATACATATATACATACATTTACATATATATGACATATATGTGTGTACATATATATGTAATCTGTAAAATCCAAAGTAATCTACAATGACCAAAAACAAAACAAAAGAAACTGGTGTTTCCTAGAGCCACTCAACATACTAATTTCTAGATTCATCTATGTTATTAGGTTTATCAGTAATTATTTCTTTCTATTACTGAATAGTATTCCACTGCATGGATATGCCACATTTTGGTTAACCATTTATTTGTTAATGGATATTTGTGGTATTTCAAATTTGAGGAGTTAAAAACAAAGGTATTATAAACATAAAAATTTTTTAAATAAATATTTGTGTACAAGTATTTGTGGGGGCTTTAATAAACACCTAGGAGTTGAATGGCCAAGTCCCAAACTATGTGTATATTTAACTTACTAAGAAATTGCACAACCATTTTATACAGTAACTGTAGATGTTTATCCCCATGAGGAGTATTTAGTTCAAGGGTGCCTGGGTGGCTCAGTCAGTTGAGTGTCCGACTTCTGCTCAGGTCATGATCTCATGGTTCCTGAGTTCAGGCCCCACATCAGTTTCTGTGATGATAGCTGGGAGCCTGGAGCCTATTTCAGATTCTGTGTATCCCTCTTTCTCTACCCCGCACTTGCTCATGCTCATTCTCTCTCTCTCTCTCTCTGTCTCTCTCTCTCTCTCTCTCTCACACACACACACACACACACACACACAAAACTAAATAAACATTAAAAACAAATTAAGAACCTCAATCATGCCTTATCTTCAACACTTGCTTGATAAGGTCAGTTTTAAAATTATAACCAATCCATACTTACCTAGCAGGGGTGATTCCATAATCACGATGGTGGTTTTCCCAGGGCGAGGCTTATCCATTGCGCTCCTGATGTGCTGACCCCTGCAATTTCCCCAAATCTGGGACATGCAACTGTAGAATTTGTGGTAGTAGAGGACTGTGTTCATTCTTCCCCCTAATAAATAAATAAAATAAATTAAATTATAACAAATCTAGAGACTGTATAGTAATAACTAATTGTAATTTACATTTTTCTCTAGTGAGTGATTTAAGCATCTACTTTGTGTCAATTAGCTATTTGTATATTTGCTTTTGCGAAGGGTCTGCTCAAATTTTTTGCCCATTTTTAATTTTTTTTATTTTTTGTTTTATTACTGAGTCATACAAGTTCTTTTTATAGTCTGGATATGATTTATTTATAAAATATATGTATAGCTAATATTTTCTAATATTTTCCCTTAACATAGCTTTCATTTTTTAAGGGTTTTCTTCAAAAAGCAAAAGGCTTAATAAGGGCAACTTTTTTTTTTTTTTGTAGCTAAATGCTTGTTAGTTTGTATGTAAGAAATCTTTGCCTATTCCAAGGCAGCAAAGATTTTCTCATACATTTTCTTCATTTGTTATATTTATTTAATTTTTTAATGTTTTTATTTACTTAGAGAGAGAAGGAGCACACGCGGGGGAGGGGCAGAGAGGGGGAGGCAAGTCTACAGCAGTGAGCCCAATCAGGCTTAAACCACAAACCATAAGATCATGACCTGAGCATGGGGTGCCTGGGTGGCTCAGTCAGTTAAGTGTCTGACTTCAGCTCAGGTCATGATCTCACGGTTCAGTTCATGGGTTTGAGCCCTGCGTTAGGCTCTGTGCTGACAGCTAGCTCAGAGCCTAGAGTCTGTCTTCAGATTCTGTATCTCCCTCTCTCTGACCCTCCCCTGCTCACACTTTCTCTCTCTCTCTCTCTCTCATAAATAAATAAAAAAATACAAACATTTTTTAAAAAAAGATCATGACTTGAATCAAAGTCAGATGCTCAACCAACTGAGCCACCCAGGTGCGCCTGCTTTTTTTTTTTTTTTTAAGTTTATTTATTTGAGAGAGACAGAGCGAGTGGGGGAGCAGCAGAGAGCAAGAAGGAGAAAGAGAGAATCCCAAAGAGTCTCCATGCTGCCACACAGAGCCCAACGTGGGGCTCAAACACAGGAAACTGAAATCATGACCTGAGCCCAAAACCAAGAATCCGATGCTTTAATCAACTAAACCACTCAGACTCTCTTCTGTTATGTTTAAATCTTTAGCCATTTCAAGGTCATGTTTGTTCTTGATATGAGGTAAATGTTGATATTATTTATTTTTATTTTGACAGGATAAAAATATACAGCTGTTTCAACAGTTTGTGGTGAAGAATCTTTTTGCGATAGAATCACTTGGGTATCTGCGTCAAAAATTAACTGATTTTATCTGTGTCATTCCATTTCTGGATTCTGTTTTTGTTCTACTGACATGTTTATGCTTTTCCCAATACTGTACTGTCTTAACTATTATAACTTTATTGTTATCTTTAAATCAGGCAATGCAACTCTCCCTATTTTGTTCTTTTAAAAATTTGACTATTCTAGGTCATGCACATTCCCATGTAAGTTCTTAAATTATCAAATTCTACCAAAAAACTCTACACGAATTTTTATTGGGGTTGCATTTAATCTACGGATCAATTTGGGAAACTTGCCATCCAATTCTTTTTATTTTCTGT